TTGGTTTTGCCCCCCCAACACCCGCCTTTGGAGTGAGGTGAGCATTACCTCATCACAGTCCCAAGCTGATCAAAGGAACGGGGGTGACTCATTCAAGAGTCCAACAGATCCTTTTATTGCTGCCTAGGCCAGCGTCCTTTGTTCCTGTGAGGTTGGGCTGGGTTTGTCCCATACATGCCCTGTACGAGGTACAAAACTCTTGTCACACAGGTGCAGATATGGCCATAAAGTCACACAATGACTGAGCAGCCTGCAGTTCAGCATCTTTCATGCCCAACAATTGCTCTTTCATTGTGTGTACTTGCATAGAAAAAACACACTCCTGTAAGATTTAGTGGTTTAAGGGAGGGTTTAAATTTAAGGTGCCCCCTCTCTTCCCTTCATAGTTAGCAGAGTCCATCCTGGGAGAGATGGCATTAGATCCTGTCCAGTTTGTTTCATTGTCGCTGCACCAGGACTCCAGTGAGGGGCTTACCTCTGCTGTGGTAATCAAACAATCCCATGCCATACAAAATATACCATTGCACAAGTGTGTGCAGATTTAAAATGCACTTTCTGTGAGTGTTCATGTGACTTAACCATGCTCACTTGAATGTTCACAATAAACAAATGCAAAGGGCACATAAGCATAGCCAGAGGCAGGTCATTTCTAAATTCAAGCAAAGATTTGCAGATTCTTTAATCCAGCATTCAACCATCTAAGCCATCTATCTACTGGGATATTTTTTATTTGGCACATCAAATGCTTGTATCATTCCTATTGATTTCTGCTCTACTCTGCTCACTCATGTGAACACTTGAGTTCAAAGTTATCATTTAAATCTGCAGCAGGAACGGAATCCATCGCAATTCGTAAGTGCCAGTCCATTTGGATTTCTCAGAACTGTGCAGTATCTTGCCTACAAAGGAGGATGTAAACAACCAAGAAATGACAGAGGAAAGACATGCTCTATTGATATAAAAATCCTGGGCTGATCTGTAAAGTTTTCCCCTAGCAATACTGCTCATCATCCCCAAATCCTAATGCTAGCAAAGTAGGGTAAGGAAAACTAGGGCAATGCCTTAATGCTCACACAAAGTATTGTGATCCGAGAGTTAGATATTGTCTTGAATGATAAAGGATAGGTGAGTGGTAAGGCTATTCCCTAGTGATCAGACTTCCCTACAATGCAGCTCATACATTTAATTACAGTAAGTGTGATGATGTGTTACAGTGTAACAAGGGAACATTCAGGAAGATGGTTACATTTAGTCTGGATGCATTATGTGCCGTAGTGGGGAAAGAGATTTGTTTTACTTGAAAAGATACATGAAAGGGGGAAAGATTTTTTTTTCTACTTTATAGCCCCAAAGAATCACAGAGGAGCTTATTCAGAACAGTGCAGAAATTACCTTTTACCTAATCTGTAACTTGATTAAAAAGTGTTGGTGGCACCAGATGACGGTATTCAAATCTAAGCTCAGAATCACTAGAGCCCATGAAGGGGAGCATCTCTTCCGTTGTTTTCTTTCTGGAAATTACATTGCAGCCATTTCATAAAGCTGTGGGGTTAAATATTAGGACATGGAGACTGCCCATAGCAGATTAGAGCAGTGCCCAATCTAGTCCAAACTGCCTGTCTTTGATTAACACCAAATGCTTCTAAAAAAAACCCAAAAACCCCCACACATTTATGGAATAACTTGTCCAAGAGGAACCCACACACACAGAATTACTGAGGTGGAAACACCAGTTTTGTTCAGCTTAAGGGGAATCATTGATCATTGTCTGGGAGAAATAGGGGAAAGTTTGCTTTATTTTTTCACCTAGGAGATCATATTTCCACCTCAAAAAACCCCTCTCCTTATTAAGGGTGAAACTCGCCACACTGAAATTTTGGAGCCCCTGCTAAGGGCCAAATCATGCCTCTGCCAAACAACTTGAGTAATTTTGGGCATAAGGGAAGGGAATGTCCTCCCCTCAAGTAGAACTGGAGTGGAGCCACTCTGTAGCCACTACTCAAACCATTGGCTTGACTATTCTCCTGTATTTGTCTCCCACATTTTTTTGGATGGGGCGAACCAGAGGATCGATATAATTGTGGTCCTCAGGATCCACGCCAGGAACCCCCAGGCTCCACAGTCCTCAGCACATGCAGGGCTCTTGCACTGGTTTATAGTATCCCTTGCCTCTCCTTCCAGACACATTGGGAGACAGAATTATACCACTGAATCAGTGGCTCTGTGCAGACAAAGAGAAGAGGGGAGGATTTGGCAGAGCAAAATGGCCACTGTGTTGGGATGAATTTCACCTTGACGTCATTGGCAAAAAGCTACTCCATAATGTGATGCACACATTCTGATGGCAACTTGCAAGATACCTTAGTGAAGATACACACGGCAAAAACTGATGTTGGAGCAGCGTTCTAAATGTTGTACACAAGCTATGAGGCTCATATTTTTTAGGCAGAACATTTAGGCACCTAATTAAAAATGGCCTGATTAGGGGCATAAAACTTGGGTTGGAGACTTCATTTTAGGCACATTAATTTTTATTTCAAAGACATTAGGGGGCTGGGACACATGACTTATGACGAGACCCTGAGGGAACTGGGCTTATTTAGTCTGCAGAAGAGTAGAGTGAGGGGGGAATTGATAGTAGTCTTCAACTACCTGAAGGGGGTTCCAAAGAGGATGGAGATCGGCTGTTCTCAGTGGTGGCAGATGACAGAACAAGGAGCAATGGTCTCAAGTTGCAGTGGGGGAGGTCTAGGCTGGATATTAGGAAACACAATTTCACTAGCAGGATGGTGAAGCACTGGAATGGGTTTCCTAGGGAGGCGGTGGAATCTCCATCTGTAGAGGTTTTTAAGGCCCAGCTTGACAAAGCCCTGGCTAGGATGATTTAGTTGGTGTTGGTCCTGCTTTGAGCAGGGGGTTGGACTGGATGACCTCCTGAGGTCTCTTCCAACTCTAATCTTCTATGATTCTATGACATCAGATAATAAGTGTTTTCCTTTAGAGTGACCTTTTAAAAAAATATATAGACTCATTATTTCCTTTCTGTTTTCTTTCTTTTATAACATTTTGAGTCATTATAGCAGTTTGTAGGCTGTGCTCGGTTACAGCCTATGCTTCGATACATTTTACTCTGCTAATAGAAACAATTCCCCTGAATTGCAGTTAACGCTTAAGAGCAGAAGGATTGTAATACACATTGTAAATGGTTATATTATTGAGAAAGCTAATATTTTATTTCCTCTTCATTTCACTCAGCTGATATTTAGCTTGATATGTACACAAAGGGTGGATCATGTACTATCCACCAGTGCAGAGTTGGGGAAAGACTCTAGCCATTCACAAAGGGACTGTACCCTATATGACCCATTACCCACCAAGATTATGTCCTGTTTATTTATAGTGGGGGCTGAGTGATTGTTACAGCAAATACTATTATTTTTTCAGGCTGTAAAGCGAGTAGGAGACTGTTGATGCAGCACCCTCATAATAAATGGAATGATCCCTGTTTTCCATTATAAAAACTATGAATAATTCATGTCAGTGTTTGATTAATACTAGGGCATTGGACCACAAGTAAGGAGACTTGGGTTCTCTTCCTAGAACTGCCATTGACATATTGTATTGTGCCTTAGGCAAAATACTTAGGACCAGCTTTAGAACCCCTTACTCCTGCTAGTGAGTAGTTACTCACATGAGTAGTCCCACTGATTTCAGGGGCCTTACTTGTGCAGGTGTTTGTTCACCCCTGGGAGTAGGGTGCAGCAATCAGACCATGCTGCAACCTGCATCAGTCAAGGCGACACCACACCCCTAAGTCAGGATTCCTCCCATCTGCACCTTGCTCCAGGGGGTAATAATTTGCTGCTGGCCTATGCTACCACCTATACCAGGTCTGCTGCTCTGGCCCGAGTGTAGTGGATTGGTGGAATTCTTGAGGGAGCGAACAGGAATAGGCAGGCACCCAAGATCTGGGTAGGTCATGCAAGAGTGTGGAGTGGAGGTGTGGTCCGACTTGTCCTTACTGCTTTGCATAGGGAGCATGATCCTGTTTGTATCCTTGCTGGTTCTCTTTTGCCCCAGCCATTAAACTGAGGATAATAATGCTTTGCCAGCTTCATAAAGCACTTGGAGTTTTAAAGATGAAAAGTGCTAAGCATAACAAGACACCCCTCCAATGGTGTTAGGGGGCCACACACATGCCATCTGTGCACCTTTTCCAGACATTTTAGAATCCTACTGATGTTGTCAAGTGATGGGAATTCAAAACATGTTACCAGACAAGAGATGAGTGAATGGGCAAAAATTACAGCTTTATTTCGACTTTGAACCAGACCCTTCTTCAGGATAATAAAGGGAAAGGATCAGCTCTTAATTTTGTAATTAAGGACTTATTTATAGCAAATTAGCCTTCTTGAAATTAAGCCTCAATTCACTGGCTTTAGCCCAAAACATGACTGACTTACTCCCGGGCTTCTTCTTAGCTCTTATATTTTGGCCAAAAAGGCAGCAGGGCCTAAACCAATCTCTTTTCCTGAACAGAAACTTTTTTAAAAAAAATCACTGTACATAAGATTCCTCCTTTTACATTTCCTCTCTTTTAAGGCAAAAGTATTTTATTATGTTCATTAAAATGCTTTACCATCCAGAACTGGGATGTGATAATCTTCATAAGGTGCTCTAAGGTTTGCTTGTATCTGTCCATGTCCTGAGGGTGGGGAGAATGGTTCATAGTTTCCGCTCTCAAGCTAACAAATGTTCCCTCGTCCCCCTTGGCTGCTCCCCACATCCCATTTTTGAGTTCTGATGGTTACAATAAAGTATTAACCATGTTCATCTGATGTATTGACGTGCGGGATTGCTAAGGAGAGCTGGCAGCCAGCCAGCCAGCAGCTAATGGCAGTATATAAGCAATTTGATGAAAAAGAATTAACATGCTAATTGTCAGGCTGTAGAGGGTGCTGGGGACTATGCAGGGGGGGAAAAAGACATTTTCTTATTTACCCTAGAGAGACTCATTTTAATAATAAAACTCTGAGAGAGAGAGAGAGAGAGAGACTCTGATGCAATTTACCTTTTCTTTGCCACACACCCCCCCACACCTGCTTTGCACCCAGAGCCTTGACACTCAAGAGGCTCTATCATGAGATCTCTTCCCTTTTAGCATGCAAGATATCCCAGGCTCTAGAAACATTCAGCACCACTGTGTAATTCTTCGCTTCACATAGTAGCAAGTGACGCTGTGGTGGAGTGTCTGTTTAAAGGGAAAAGTCACGTTTCACATATTTATGCCCAGACCCCAGTTCCAGCTGACAGCTTAGCTGGAGCAGGGGTGAGGAAGAGGCTTTGAAAGAACTAAGAACTTATTTTTCTTTTAAACAAAGGAGGCTTTGGTCAGATTTTTTTTTTCTTTAAAGCAACTGAAAAAGCTGATCCAGAAAGCGAAAGCATCTCAGTGCTAGCTGCAAGTGCACAGTTAACAGATCAAGAAAGTCAACTAATGCTACACAGAACCAGCATTCCAGCAGTGAGGAGTCCCCTGAGGGAGGGAATTGCAACTGGGAATTCAACTAGATGTCAAAGAGGAAGCTGCTTCTTTTGGTGGACGTGGATCTTATTTAACACTGGATTTGTGTGCATCGCTCTTCAGATAATCACCTGGAAATCTGTTGTGCCTTCCCTTCAAAACAAGCAAGTGCTGCTATACAAAGCATTTCTTCTTCTTCTCTGTTTGGCTTACAGTACAGGGTTTTGTTAAAGAGGAGAGTCTTTTTTTCTATGCACGGGAGGCTGCCACATTCCACTCCCAGGAAAATGAAGAAGATCCTGTCAACTCATCCTAGATAACCAGTTCAGTTCACACAGAAGACCCAGTCCATTGGGCATAAGCCCTGGTTTTGGCTGAGAGAGCAAGTGCCCGAACAAGAGGTATATATATATATAAATACACATTTTTTTCCTGATTTCTATTTGAGGATTAATGATGTAAATGTGATCCAGGGAGATTGAAAGAAGCAAACTCACTGAGCCATGTAAGTGAACGGAATTGCTGCATTTACGTTTATACAGAATGTGGCTGGATTTCAGCCCATTACGAATGGGAACATTCCTTTTCCACACCACACACTGACACTTTCATTCTCTTCTGATACACCTACAGGGGAAGAAAATTTAAGCAAGAACATGTATAGTGAATTGTTAAATTCAACCAGTGCCACTGAAGCTCACCTAATCATTCAGACCAACACACCCTACCTGAACAGCACACAGAGATCAGTAAGCTCCTCTGCGTTTTATATGTCAACAGCCAGGGTGTTAAAAGAAGGGGAAATAAATAAGCCAGATCTGGTGACTTACATTGTTCTGTTTTTCTTCCTGCTCTTGACTGTGATAATAATTGTGCTCTTTATTAACTGTCAGTTGAAAAATTCTTTTTTTGCTACTCTACCTTATGACAGATCACTCAGAGAAGCAAGGAGTACATGGAGGACACAAGCTGTCTAAAACCAAAAAGGGAAGCCTTGCTTAATACAGTTTTGCTTTGATATATAGCACGAGCATGAGCCAGAAAACCTGTGCAATCAAATGTTATTTCCTTTCGCTGTTAGGTGGATCCAATCCCCTTTTAAATAATATTCGGAGTCTCAGTATTAAGAGAAAAAATTCCCTGCCGGGAAAAAAATTGCCATATGTATATTAGAGTAGATGTAAATAAAAAGCCCTTTTATGAATTAAAAAGACAAAGCATTATTATGTTTAATTTATGTACAGAGATACATACAAAAGAAATGCATTGCCTATAGTAGAAACCTCTGTTTAACTCTATATGTATGCAAATTTCATCACTGACCCATTCAATCAAGGTACAATGGCATTTGCCTTGACAATAATCTCTAATTTGTACATCTGGTGGAGCTGTAGCCTGTGTTTGGGAAATCATGGCAGCAAATGTAGAAATGTTAATATATTTACTTGACAGCCACAAGGAGGAAATCAATTTACTTTACAGACCCATTTTGCTTTATTGTTACTAGAACCATGTGGCAACGTAATGGGAGATATTGCTGATAAAGACTGTAAGCCAAACATGCGTCTAGTTTTATTTAGCATCTCTTCTGCGGTTCTCTTAACCAGCATTCTTGGTATTCTAGTGCAGTGATTCTCAGACCTCAGTGGTTCAGGAGCCAAACCTTCGTGATCAACATTACCCAGAAGTTCCACCGTAGTGTTAATTCCTCCTTTCATTTACTATAGTACTATTCATATTTAAACAGCATGGCAGGGAAATACTTATTTGCTGTGAGAATAATATATATAAACTAAGTTATTAACTTAGTGGAAGTTCATAACTTAATTGTTCATAACATAGTAAAACATCCTGATTGGTAAATAACTTAGTTTGGTTAATAATTAAATCACAGTGTTTCAATATCATGTGCTGCTAAGAGCCGCAGGAGACACCTTAAAGAGCCACTTGCGGCTCACGAGCCACAGTCTGAGTTTCACTGCTCTAGTGTATCTTGGTCAGATTTTCAGGCCCCAGTTCTGCTAAATGGACCACTTAAGACTTAGGTAACTTGGATTAAACTTTATTGACAACAAAAAAAGCTGCATTAACCACTGTATCAAACCAAAAGGATCATTAGGGGTGGAAAAAAGCCACTGTGGCATGGAAACTAATTATGAGAGGCTAATATCAGTCCCATTTTGGTGCAAAAAAATGAGTAACAAATTGAAATGCAGGAATCACAATTTTAATAGAATGGTTACTTTAATGCTAACAATTATTTTCATCCCATGCTTTTGGTATACTGCTGGGAAAATTAGAAGCATGGGTGGGGGATGGTGCCATTTACTCAGCAGTGGTCACTGGTGACAAATTTAAATTGCAATTAATTAGCAATGAGGTGCTGTTGTAAGAGCTACATGAAAATGTCTGTTTAAACTTACTAATTGACTTGATACTTTACGTGTACAAAAATGTGATTTACTAGAGCACTGCATACTTCTATTCTGTAATCCCAGTTTTGCAGAGGAAAAACTGCACAGTGACTGGTATGCACTGTCATTCCAACTAATCGTCAACGAGCGTCACGTACGCAGTGGCTCACCAAGGTCGAGGCTGTAGGTATAGAGGTGTATGTATCTAGACGCATAAGGCCAGATTCGACTCTCGGTGACATTGGCACAATCCAAGTGAAACAAATGGGATTCAGTTGGTGTCACTAAGAGCAAAAGTTGTACCCATGTTTCAATTCATTAACATACAGGGTATAGTGGGAACGTTGTGTGTATGTAACGTCTTCTAAAGCGAACTGAAAAAAGCTTACAAACAGATCACATACACACACACGCAGTGAGCTGATAAATACAAAGACACAACCAAATGCGTGTGTGTGTGTAACCTGTTTGCAAGCTCTCTTACCTTACAAGAAATGTTACCATTGACAAATCAGCTATCCTTTTATGCTCTCATAGTAGTGAACACTTTATGCTTTTATCAGAGAGAAGAACAAAGCTACCATATAACTAGGTCTGACTTTTTTCACAGGGAGCAATTCTGGTCTCACGTAAACCAGTTTAACCCTGATGTAACTCCTAGGACTCACTTGAGTGTAAATGCAGCGTTTATATGGGAGCTGCATTTAGCGCAACACATCTTAAATGTAAAGATTAAGTAATCAGACTAGGCAATAAATGGCTTTTAAACAATGATAGTTTGTTTTAACTGATCAGAAGTAACAAGTTTGGTCTAAGAATTTCCATTGGCACAACAATTAAGACCTTTTAAAGTTTGTTTTCCATTGTACTGTAATTCATTTGTATTAAAATATTCCATCACACAAGAAAAAATACAGCAGAATCCTATTTGTAAAGGGTTAATGGCAAGAGGAGGGTCATCAAAAGAATATGGCTCACTTACAATGAGATTTACAATGGTACTTGGTAGCAACAACAGTGGACTGAATGTCAGCATTTTTCTTATCAGCCCCCAAAGATGCTACACATCTCCGGTGTCTTAGCGCAATTTTAACAAATGTTGGGGAGCGATCAGATATAGTCTCTTTTACTAAGCCCAAAATGTTGGCAGCAAGGCCACCTACAGGGGACAACAAAGGATTATTTTAGAAGCATTCTTGACCATAAATTCAGTTTTCTTATGTCAGCACACGGCTCCTGTTAAGCATGACAGTAAATATTCCTTGGGCAAGTTTTTCACACTTACTTCGCTCAAAAAAGCATATGGATAGTATTTGTGTACGTACTATGGCCTCCTATATGATTGCTTCACTGTGGCAATACAATTTCAACTTCTCTGCAAAGGAGATTATACTTTATATCAAAGATGGGTGTAGGACTGTAAAAAGGCCATGACTTTCTGTCCTTAATAACCATCTGAAGTCTGACACACATTCTGTAACAATTAATATGGCCCTGATTCAGAGGGGCACTTAAGCATATGTTTAACTTTAAGTACGTGAATATTAACTCCAATAGAGGTACCCGTGCTGAAATTAAGTACATGCCTATATGCCCTGTGACTCAGAGCCTATGTGCTGAAAAGGGTTGGAGTACTTCTTCTTATAAAGCTAGGGACATGATCCAGTATTCCTACCTTGCCCCGGCAAAATGACTGTCACCTTTGATCTTTGAGGCCACTCTTGCTACAATTAGCCTTGCCTTTGTCACTGCAAGATTAGATTGCTGTAATGCGCTCTTGAGGGGGCTACACAATGGGAACATTGGAAAGCTGCAGCTGGTGCAGAATGCTGCAGTCTGCTTTTTAAGTGGAGTTACCTATTGGAAGCACATTGGACCAGCACTCCTTGCTCTCTGCACTTGCTTCCAAAAAGCTTCTGGGTTAATTTCCAGCTGTTGGTTTTAACCTCTACAGCTTGGGACCTGCTTACCTGACCAACTGCCTCTCGCCCTGTGACACAGTGCCATAGCTCAGATCAGCGAGAGTGCTTGGGCTGGATAGTCAAGATGGAGCTGCCGCCAGTGTGATCTTTGCATGAGGCCTTTAGTTCTGGAGCTTGGTCTATCAGAGCCCAAGTTCGTTAGCATTCGAAGCACACTACAGTGCCCATCTTTGTTGAGGAGTGGCTGAGCTGTGGAGTCACTTCTTTTGCACGGGTGTATGATTTTGATTCATGGGATCTGTGCCTACAGCACAGGATGGGCACCTATAGCTCCTGTTAGGAATTTAAATAGATACCTGTTTGCCCTTCTAATTAGCCCTGAATTAGCAACCAGCCTAGGAGTAGCTCGGTGTTTGCGATCAGAGACCCTCCCCGATCCTTATTTATTTATTTTTAAGAAAATATGCAGAGTACTTGCCTCATGGTGGGATAATTGTGTGATAGAGCCATTGTGATTTACACCTGGAAGAGAAGATTCTTTCATAGGCCTCATAAGCCTGCCATTAAAACAAAATACGAGGGCTAGGGATAAAAGACAACAGCTCAGTATTTCAGCTACATGTGAGAAGGCTCTGGGCTGTTAAATGCAGTGTCTGTGTCTATTAATCTAAACTGAGTTGTGATATCATACACTTGGAACGGATGTCAAACCTCCAGAGCCACAGCATTTTGTAGTTGTACCACTTCTTCTGGGATTTCATCTTTTTGTGTCTTCTAAGGAAAGGAAATGCCCGGTCCCGAGCCACCACTTCAAAATGGGAACCGTAGAGAGCTAGGCTCCTCCACAGTTTAATTTGCATGATGAAAAAAGGGATTTTTGTAAATAATGCAGAGACTATTGAAAATAGCCAAGTTTAGTCACTTGTGAATTGTGCTGCTTAGGGGTTGTTTCTGGGCTTCCATATTTATAAAAGCAGATTTTAATGAAGAGCAGCTGGAGAGGCTGAATAAGATGAAAGAGCCCTGATTTCCTGCAGCAACATATTGTACAGTGGGACTCGATATTTATATAGGAGTGGGTGGATTGATCTAAACACAATTGAAGTGTTGGGGGGAGATGCTGTTTTGATGAAAGTCTTCTTTTTCAGAAACCTTTAGAAAATCTATCATTTTAAAGGTTTGGTATTTAGAAGCACATTCAACCTGGAAACATTGCCAAATAAATCAGTCTGAAAAGGTGCAAGGGAGACGTGATTGGATTGTGTATCCTTTGGGGGCTTCATCCCCCTCCTTCCTGAAGTTAATTACTGCAAATTACAAAGTAATTTACAAGCTGCAGGTTTATGCAAAGAAACTTATGGGAAGTTGGTTTAACATGCAAAAGTACACACACAGAGCACACTCTACAAAACATCTTAGGGAGAAAGTTATCACCTTTATCCTTTCCTTGCAACTGGTTCGTTTTCCATTCCTATTTTCATTGCAACATCAGGAATTTCTCTATCTGTTTCCTGGCATGGGAACAGGAAGTGGTGTTAGCAACCATTAGCAAACATTCTCTGAAAACATGATCTGTTCATTCCTAGGGTTACATTTCTCTTAGTGTTTGATGGAACTGCAGCTGTTATTGGAAGCTTAATGAGATGTTTTTTCCCCATTGACTTGATAATAAGATAATTTTAGAGCTGCAATGAACTGTTCGCCAAAGATTTGAAATCTACCAAAAAAGCCGCAAGACTTAATCCTCTATTTGGCTTTTGGAGGCTACAGTATTTGTTTCATTTTACCTTGCAGTAACTTTAAAATCTCCACTCCAAAGCAATATCCAACTAATCTTCTCTCTCCAGTGCTTTCTTGAGAGGTTCATGATTTTCCTGAGAATATGTTTTGGGTTTGGAGAGACTTTAGGAAGAAAGACTTCATGGGAATGATTGGATTATATAGAGAATTTCTATGTAGTGTCCAAAATAACTGTGCTGTTTACAACAAGAGGCTTGCACCTTCAAAAGGTGAATGGAAAACAGTTGTTTTTAACCCTTAGGACAAAATATCTGTTGACATAAAATGATACATACATACTTTTTAAAGAAAAACAACAGTCAGCATTCCTTTCCCTTACCTCCTGAAAAGTGAGTGTATGATGTTCGTTTTCCATGCCACACGAGTAACAGCCTTAATAATGCTGAAAGCATGACAAAGAATAGAATTGCCTACTCCAATTTAAATATTAGTGATGCCAATGAGTGTTAGAGGGGAAAACCCTAAAATCAAGACCTGCCAGGTAAAAAACTTTGCACATTCCCAATATACCCAACATTGTAGCTGCTCCAGATATCATGAAGGCAGTTTCACAGAGGGAACAGAAATACAGGATGACTATGATAACCCTCAGTTGCTCTGAATTAAATATTGTTTGGGAGTAGGGTGGCCAGACAGAAAGTGTGAAAAATCGGGGCGGGGATGGGGGGTAATAGGAGCCTATATAAGAAAAAGACCCTATAAAAAAAATCGGGACTGTCCCTATAAAATTGGGACATCTGGTCACCCTATTTGGAAGGAATAGAACCAAACATCACACACCCATCTTTACCAAATTCTTCAGATCTCTACCTCATCACAGGAATAGCCTTGTCTTCACTAGAGGGGAAAAGTGTGTTCTTAACTTGAGTTAACTAACTCAAGGTAATATCCTAGTGAAGACAAGGCAGTTTGTAGTTTTCACATGAGTTAGCAGGTCACAATAAGGACTATGGAGCAGCTTAGGGATTTCCCTGGCTTGTGAAAACTACAAACTGCCTTGTCTTCACTAGGATTGTATCTTGAGCTAATTAACCCAAGCTAAGAACACATCTTTTTCCTAGTGAAGATACAGCCTTGGAGGTGCAACCATGTCTATGCTACGGACCTTATAGTGGCATACCTGTGCCTCCCTAAGGTCTTCTGGGTAGCTGCTCTATATCAGGGGAAGTCCAATGAGTTTCCTGGTGTCCGGGGCAACTCAAGGAGTCTCTGAGAGTTAGGGCAGCCAGATGCTCCATTTTGTTTCAGAGAAATCAAACAAATGTTTGGATTTTTCCAGAACATTTTTCAGAATTTCCTTGACACGGGAAATTTTGAATGTTCTAGTTTTTGTTCCGAATCGGAATGAAAACTTATTTTTGAAATATTGGAATTTCCTACAAAAAGACTTTTCAGGGCCTCTGGCTCTGCCACTGCCCTGCAACAAGCCTCAAGTTTTTGCAGAGGGGTGGCCTATCTTGAACGATTCTTCTTCCATCCTGCTCGTTTCTCTTACAGCCTGCTATGAAATTAACCAATACATTCCCAGAGTGAACATCCCAATAACCAACTCAAGAGGCAGTATTCATATATTATTACAGAGCTGGTCCACACCTGTCAAATATACTATCTTATTTGTCAGTACATAGTTACATTTAATAAGAAAACTACACAAGCACTGGGCCTTGCACAGCAAAATTCTGGATACAGGATAATTTACCATGTTCCCCTTCCGATCATACTAAGCACTAGTTAAAAATCTGTCTCTTCATTTTGTAGTAAATTGACCTTTCTTATTTTACATATATTAGAACAGGGTTCCTACCACACCACCATCTCCAAGTCGGTGCATTCTTCACTAGAGAATTAACTAGCTAACTAAAAGATTATGACACATAACTATGCAATTTGTGATATATTAAAAGTGTTTTATTTGATTCTCACTATTTTCACTGAATCTTCAAAAGCACCATTTTCAATCAAGCAAAAAGAAGCTGGCATTATGAGTGGTCTACACGACTGGATGCTTTTAAGCAAGTTTCAGTTTGAAAGTGTGAAATACATTGCATGCAAGATTTGTACATTTTTGGAGTATTTTCTACACATACACACAGCATTGCACTTCCAGATCTGTTTTCCTGCAAACGGGTAATTCAGCAGGGCCCAACGCACAATGTAAAGCTATCTTGATAATTTAGTAACTTCATTTTTTAAATCAGCTCCTTAGCAGAAGAGGAAACGGAGCATCGTACAAAAAGTATCCTGTGTAATTTGTGCAAATGAGTTTCAATGGGCTGTAAAAATTCAGTCTTGGAAATAAAGCGTGTTCTTTGCACATTTGAAATTCAGCTTTTAAAAATGAGGAAAGAAAATTCCCCCCATGCCCTGATATTTTCTTAATGTATGTCAGGCTTCCTAGGCATCGGAAAAATAACCGGGTAAAAATAAACCTGGGACACTTTTTCTTAAAAAGTTACATTTTAAAATATCGTTAAATAAAAATACCACAAATGCTGTGGGAGGCTGAACTTTCTTTTGTTCTGTTTGTACCAGCACCTAGCACAATGGGTTCTTGGTCTACGACCAGGGTTCCTAGGCACTCCCACAGTACAAATAATAAAAATATTAACCAAAAGTAAGGTTGATGCTATAGCATCAGGATTCAAAAAAGACGAGAGATTGATATGACTAAGAACAGCCAGAGATACATCCAGTAAAGATTTTTTTTTTAAATCCCTAAAAAGAAAATTAAAATCCAAGGGTTCTGCAAGGGATGTAAACCCTCAAGATAAAATCCTGGTCCCATCATCGTTAATGGAAAATCACTCATTAATGTCAACAGGGTTAGGATTTCGGTCTTATGCTTCAGGGCATAAGGCAGCCTCTCCCTGGCTTATGTTAGGAGGACACTGTCCCTGGGAGCAGGCTATTCCATAGGTGCCTACTGCAGGGCTTCTTGCACCTTCTGCTGACACATCCAATACAGGCCATTCAGAGGAAGGATACAAGGCTAGACAGTTCTAACCAATTTCCTGTGGCATTTTTCATCAGCAAGAGTGCATGTGTTGATATAGTTCTTTAATAGCTGTGTAGCAATTTTCAGGCAGGAGACCCTGTAGAACACTTTACAAATGGATGGTATCTTCAACGAGACATGGCTAGTGGGTGCATTCTGCCTGGAAAGGGTGAGAGTAGTCAAGTGCAGAAGGACCTAATTTCTTGGCATTTTATGTGTTGATTGGTAATGCTTGGGCCAGATCTTCTTTGTGGGTGCAATCAAACAACTTACTTAACACACAAGCACTGAGATTTGCATTCTCTCTTTTGGCATTTGTACTCAGCTGCTTAAACTCTCCCCACATATGGCCTCCTAGAAGACTGGCCTTTGAGAAGATCTTCTCCAAAGTCCACTGAAGGCACTGGGAGTCTTTCCACTGGGCTTTGGATCGGGCCCAGAAAAGTTTTCCTTTCAGTAAATGCTGGCAACTGATTATGAACGAGGGATGCAGACTCAGAAGACCGTGAAACGTATGGGACTCACCAGAACACAGAGTGCCAAATATCCGCATTTGGGTTGAGTGGCTTTGCTAGCAGAGGGGGAAAAAAATCAACAACCCACCACCAAAAAAGTACAGAGTTGTGGCTTGCCTAAAAAAGGGACTGAGGAAGTAATGAGGCTATATGAAAAACTGATTCATGTGGGGTTGCTGGTGGTTTTGCATTGTAGAGATTTACACCCCCATGAGTTTCACTTCAGTTTTGGCTTCACCTGATCCTCGAGCCACACGAGCAAAGCCAGGGATGGATACATCACAGATTTCAAAAGTCTTTTGCCACCCTCTCTCTGCTCTTCTTGGGGATCCACTCCTCTTCAAGATTTGTCCTCCCTCTAAAAATTTTCAACGACTGGAGTGGGGATTCCTAATGTATAATTAATAGAAAAGTATATTTTCTCTGTGTGTTACCTACCCAGCAAGATGATATCTAAGTACATATCTTTACCCATGAAATAGTTGGCATGCTTTGTGTTAAATGTTACATTGTAAATGGTCTCATCCAGAACCACTATTGCCTGTCTCCTGAAGAAAGATACCCACACGATAAATCCATTAACCTATTAATACTCATCTAGAATTATGGTAACACCCAGGATTTAAATACACCAAGGCTTAATCAAATGAATTAGAATTTGCATTGCTTGGGGATTTTTTTCAGGAATCCATTTTAGCAGAATAAGATGGAAAACACCTTGCTTTGCATCCCAAATCGGAAGATTAACATTGTCTCCAGTTTCCCTTTAAACCTTAAAACAATGTCACAGCGTGGGCTGATGACTAAACATGCTTTTCTTTTTGAACAAAAGCAAAATACCTGATTTCTGGGCCAAGGTGACTGACTTCAGCTACGTATTAGCAGACGATAGAGTAAATTAGAATCAATGGGTCAGGTTCTGCATTAACTCATCACATTTCTTGACCCTGTCGAGCCACAGCAGCTGCTTTTCCATACACATTTGCAAAATGTGACCACGTACCTCAGATCTTGACCACGTACCACAAGAGTCTTGTGGAAATGGAAAGTTCAGTGATTTTAAGTATGCAATTAAGTTTATTCATTTTCTGGACAAAACGCATTGACTGCATGTATTATTTAGCTCTACATAAAACTTTTGCCTGATGAATATAAAGCTCTGTAAATATTTTGTCAATGGAATACTAAATCTTATAGGCTGAGATACTGAAGATGACATGTTAAATGGAAAAACCAGCATTTCTGTGACAGAAAGTGCTTTCTTCATGAAAGCAAATTTTTAAAAGCCCAAATTAGTGCACTGACGCAACATGCATGACTGATGCGTATGCAACCTGCTGAATGGATCCACAGACAAAGGGCACCATTACGCAAGGGCAGGAGCAATAACTGAATAGCTTTTTTAAGATTGTTTTCTCTATGGAAGGAGGAATCTTTGAATGCCGGATTAAGAGAAAGCAGGATATATTTCACTAGAACATGCCTCAGGTATGCTTTAAGGCATAAAGCCAAGCAACAGATTAATGTCTCAGTAAGACGTGTCTGGAGTGTCTTAATATGTTACACTATTGATCCATTATTTCTACCTTTTTTTCCCTAAAGGGCTAAATTTTCAAAACTCTGCATGGGCACAGAAACCTGTGTTGATCCCTGGGGCGCAAGCGGGAACACGTGCCTAGGGTCCCCTTTAATATGAGTCACAAACAGGTTTCTGCATGCTGCCAGCATCTGGGGCTGGCCCTGAAGGATGGGCATGTGACAATGGGATAGGCAGCGGGCGTGTCAAAGACAGACAGGCACCACGGCACAGAGACCGCCTAGGCCATCTAAGCCCCCAGTCCCGAGAAGGCAAACCATGAGTCGACTTGAACTAAATAGGATTACTCACATGCTTAAAATTAAATGAGTGCACAAACCTTTGCAAGAAAGGCAAGTGTGGCAGGGCCAAGCCAGGAGGTACAAGCAAAGATTGCTTCAGCGTTTGCTGGGACAGACGCTGCAGTGCCAGAGAGGCAACAGCTGTGGCAGGACATCACACATACACACTTTACGTCTGATGGGTGGCTGGGGTTGTCCTTGCATTAAAACTAGAGTGCCTTGTCCTCGCTGTGTTTTGACATCAGGATGGC